TTTATTGCTCATAACATTTCACACAGCACCAATTATCGCATAAACTGAAATATTCCCCCATATTATTTGGGGATGCTAGGTATGGACTTCATTTTTACGGGGCTAAATATCGCTTGCTTTGAATGTGTAACAAACTTCAGTCGTCTAGTCATTCTAATTTTGGATGATTAACGAAACTTGTAGCTCAGTTTGTCGAAGGAAAGAAGGGGAATTTTTTGGTTTATACAATTGAACAAGGAAACCTCTTGGCGGACAAGGCAAGTCTTTTCAATGCCTTAAACTACCTACGCTGATTTGGGTGTTTCTATTCCAGATCTGCTGATAGTTTCGAAGTCCACTCAATTGGATTCAGGAACCGCCTCAAGCAAACTTTGAGGTCACTTCACCTTTCTTCGTACTGATCAATTTTCTGTCATTATAATCACAATTATTAAAAGTATCGCTGACTCTACTTTCCATTTTCCAATTTTATCCTTTTATCACAAGACATTAAAGGTAGCCAAGCCTCTCAAGCGTGTAATCACAAATCCAGCCTCACCCGAATCCCGCCACTCTTTGACTCCAATAAACTGGTTGAAGAGGCGATTGTGGTTGACGCTGACCGATCCATCCGATCTATGCACACCATTTCAGTTGGTCTTGCGGGCAACCGCGATTCTGCCACCTTCGTGGCCGACCCAGAAGCCTGTCTGCAGCCACGAATCGCGGCTGACCACGCCGAGTTGCCGGGCTCCTCGGACGGCCGGAGCACCTACCGCTTGCACTCAGGACCTTCAAGTCGTCCGTCCACAGACGAAAGATCCGACCGATCAGACAGTCAGGTTGGTGGGGGTTTCAGTCTATTTACTTTCATGAGGTTTGTCATGATACTTGTGTGTATGTCTGCCTGTGAGTTTGGCTTCGCACATTTTCATTGATTGATCGTAAGGCAACCCTGGACAATAGTCTGATACCTTTTTGTTGTGAATTATCTTTTGAGACGCCAGATTTGAAGACCAGCATGGTGAACTTGGTTTGACCTCGTTTACGCAATTAAATGCTGCTCTCCCATGTCATTGTCGTCACGTGTTCCTTCAACATAGGATCTCTAAATGTGTACATTCTCCGATACCGGAAGAAGGCATGACAAAAATACTATAATTTCTTCGAAGTGTCCCCTTGAAAGCGACTATAGTTAAAAAAAGAGATCAAGCTGGTCAGGTTCAGCCCTTAAGGCCAGGCTGAAGGATCCAGATTGGCGAAAGTAATGCCAGAAGGACCGAAAACTTTTGATACAATTTGTCATGGTCATGGTGTCAGGCGGACCTCAGTAAACAGCCTCTAAAATAATTTTCATAATTATTTTTATTCTCGGAGCTTTGATTTCCCAAATGTTTTACAGACATTATCGTCTGCATCATCATTGGGTAGCACCATTAGTAGCATGGATGACCATCTTAATCGAGCTGAAAAGGAATCTGATGCCCAATAATTGGGCATTTCTATTCCATTGCTCTCAAAGTAGAATAGCCTAAGAAAGGAATTTTCATTCTTAGCGGGTTTAGCAATTATCCGTGACTAGTAAGAACTTGCTCATCCTATGTGGCTCAAGGTGATGCATGAACTGATAATGAAGTTCTTCCAAAATAAAATGAATAGGCCTTACGATGCCAGTAAGGCCTCGTTTTATTCTTGCTTTTAGGTTTACTTTAATGAACTAAAGGTGAGTAGAAGTGGGTTGACCTCGTTGTCGAAACTTGGTCTTGTGTTCAGGTAGACTATGTAGAACGCACCGAGTCCGAAGTCGTCTGCCATAGTAGTTGTCTTGAGTCCTAGCATCCGACAGTGGACTTGATACATTCTCAGACGTTTCGCCGGCCTCGTAGTCGGCATCATCAGTGAGC